CCACCTCACAACTCATTTCACCAGGGGAAAAATACTTTGAAACAACCCTCATGCTAATTAACCAACTCTTTTAGAGCCAAATGTGTCAAAGAAGCCTTTGACTTAGCTCTTCATTGGGGCAGGACTACTTTTTTTTTGCACATTTGAATATTCTTTTTAAATTTAATTTTAATTTTTTAAATTGTTGTTTTATTACATTTGTCCCCATTTTCCCCCCTTTACTCTCCCCTACCCTACCCAACCCCACCTCCCACATTCAGTGCCCCCCATTGTCTTTGTCCACGGGTCCTTTGTGCATGTTCCTTGACGACCCTTCCCCCTCTTTCCTCCATTATCCTCTCCCCACTCTCTGGTCACTGTCAGTTTATTTTTTATTTCCATGTCTCTGGTTCTATCTTGCTTGCTTGTTTGTTTTATTGATCAGGTTCCACTTACAGGTGAGATCATATGGCATTTGTCTTTCAATGGCTGCCTTATTTCACTTACAGTAATATTCTCTAGTTCCATCCATGCTGCTGCAAAAGGTAGGAGGAGTTCCTTCTTTCTTTCTGCTACGTAGTATTCTGATGTGTAAATATACCATACTTTTTGATCCACTCATTTGCTGATGGGCACTTAGGCTATTTCCAGCACTTGGCTATTGTAAGTAACACTGCTATGAACATTGGGGTGCACAGGTTCTTTTAAATTGGTGTTTCAGGATTCTTAGGTTATAATCCCAGCAGTGGAATTGCCGGAACAAAAGGCAGTTTCATCTTTAGTTTCTTGAGGAAATTCCATACTGTTTTCCACAGTGGCTGCACCAGTCTGCATTCCCACCAACAGTGCACTAGGGTTCTCTTTTCTCCACAACCTCACCAGCACTTGTTGTTTATTGATTTGTTTATGATGGCCATTTTGTCTGGTGTGAAGTGGTATCTCACTGTGGTTTTAATTTGCATCTCTCTGATGGCTAGTGATGCTGAGCATCTTTTCATATATCTCTGAGCCCTCTGTATGTCTTCCTTGGAAAAGTGCCTGTTCAGGTCCTTTGCCCATTTTTAAATTGGATTGTTTGTCTTCCTGGTGTGGAGTAGTGTGAATTCTTTGTATATTTTGGAGATCAAACCCTTGTCTGAGGTATCATTTGCAACTATATTTGCCCATATGGTTGGTTCCCTTTTCACTTTGTTGATGTTTTCTTTAGCTGTGCAGAAGCTTTTTAATTTGATGCAGTCCCGTTTGTTTCAATGTGTGGGATATATGAAATTTTCCTTCCTATGTTCTCCTCTAGGGCTTGTATGGTGTCATGACTTATATTTAAGTCTTTTATCAATCTTGAGTTTATTTTCATATATGGTGTAAGTTGGTTGGGTTTCATTTTTTTTTTTTTGCGGGTACATGTCCAGATCTTTCAACACCATCTGTTGAAGAGGCTATTTTCACTCCATTTTATGCTCCTGCCCCTGCTGTCAAATATTAATTGACCATAGAGTCATGGGTTTATTTCTGGACTCTCTAATCTGTTCCATTGATCTATGTGTCTGTTCTTATGCCAGTACCAGGCTGTTTTGATTACAGTAGACTTATAATATAGTTTGACACCAGGTATTATGATATTATGATTCCTCCTACTTTGTCCTTCTTTCTCAAAATTGCTGAGGCTATTCAGGGTCATTCATGGTTCCATATAAAATTTTGAAATGTTTGTTCTATACCTGTGAAATATGTCATTGGTATTTTAGTAGGGATTTCACTGAATCTATAAATTGTTTTGGGTAGTATAGACAGTATAATAATGTTAATTCTTCCAATCCATGAACATGGTATATGCTTCCATTTGTTTGTGTCTTCCTTGATTTCTTTCTTCAGTGTTGTGTTGTTTCCTGAGTACAGGTGTTTTTTACCTCCTTTGTTAGGTTTATTCCTGGGTACTTTATTTTTCCTGTTTCTATAGCAAATGGAATTTTTTTCCTGATTTGTTTCTGATATTTTGATGTTGGTGTACAAAAATGCTTTCAGTTTCTGAGTATTGACTTTGTATCCTGCTGTTTTGCCAAACTCACTTATTAGATCAAAGAGCTTTTTGGTGGAGTCTATAGAGTTTTCTATGTATACTATTATGTTATCTACAGATAATAACAGTTTTACTTCCTCCTTTCCAGTTTGGTTACCTTTTAATTCTTTGTCTTGTCTGATCGCCGTGTCTAGAACTTCCAATACTATGTTGAATAGAAGTGGTAAAAGTGGACACTCTTGTCTTGTTCCTGATCTTAGTGGGAAAGCTCTTATTTTTTGCCCATTGAGTGTGATATTGACTGTAGCTCTCTCAGATATGGCCTTCATTGTGTTGAGGAATGCTCCCTCTACTCCCACTTTGCTGAGTGTTTTTATCATTAATGGGTGTTGTACCTTATCAAATCCTTTTTCCACATCTATTGATATGATCATGATTTTTGTCTTTCCTTTTGTTTATGTGATGTATTAGATTTATTTATTTGCAAATATTGTATCACCATTGCATCCCTGGGATGAATCCCACTTGGTCATGGTGTACGATCTTTTTAATGTATTTCTGGGTGCAATTTGCCAATATTTGGTTGAGGATTTTGGGATCTGTGTTCATCAGGGATATTGGCCTGTAATTTTCTTTCTTTGCTGTGTCTTTATCTGTTTTGGGGATTAGGATGATACTGGCCTCATAAAAAGAGTTTGGGAGTCTTCCCTCTTCTTGGATTTTTTGGAATAGTCTGTGAAGAATAGGGTTTAGCTCTTCCTTAAATGCTTTGTAAAATTCTCCTGTGAAACCATCTGGTCCAGGGCTTTTGTGTCCCTGGAGTTTTTTGATCATTGCTTCGATTTCACCAGCTGCTTTAGTCTGTGCAGGCTTTCTGCTTCTTCTTGATTCAGTTTTGGAAAATTTTATGTTTCTAGAAATTTGTTCATTTCACCCAGGTTTTCAAATTTCTTCACATATAGTTCTTTGTAGTAATTTCTTACAATCCTTTGTATTTCTGTGGTATCATATGTAATTTCTCCTCTTTCATTTCTGATTTTATTTATTTGGGTCTGCTCTCTTTTTTACTTGATGAGTCTAGTTAAAGGCTTGTCAATTTTGTCTTTTCAAAGAACCAGCTCCTGGATGTATTGCTCCTTTAGATTATTTTCTTAGTCTCTATGTCATTTAATTCTGCTCTGATCGTGATTATTTCCTTTATTCTACTCACTCTGGGCTTTGTTGTTGTTCCTCCAGTTCTTGTAGATGTTGGGTTAGGTTGTTTGTTTGAAATGTTTCTATATTTTTAGTAGGCCTGTATTGCTATTAACTTCCCTCTCAGGGCTGCCTTTGCTGTGTCCCATAGGTTTTGGATTGTTGTGAGTTCATTTTCATTTGTTCCCAGAAACTTTTTTATTTCTTCCTTGATCTCATTCTTAACCCATTCATTGTTTAATAGCATGCTATTCAGTGTCCATGAGTTGAAATGCTTTTGAGTTTTTTCCTTGAGGTTGGTTTCTAGTTTCAAGCCCTTGTAGTCTGAGAATATGCTTGATATGATTTCAATTTTCTTGAATTTTCTGGGGCTTGTTTTGTGTCCTATCATGTGGTCTATCTTTGAAAATGTTCCATGTGTATTTGAAAAGAGTGTGTAATTTGCTTGTTTGAGGTGAAAGCTTCTCTATATATGAGTTAAGTCCATTTCATCTAGGGCATTGTTCAATGCCACAATATCTTTGTTGATATTTTGTTTGGAAGATCTATCCATTGTTGACAGTGAAGTGTTAAAATCCCCTACTATAAGTGTGTTGCTGTCTTTCTTGAAGTCTTCCAAGATTTTCCTTATATATTTGAGTGCTCCTATATAGGGTACATATTTGTTTACAATGTTTATGTCTTCTTGATGGATTCTTCACTTGAGTATTATGAAGTCTATTTCTGGGTCTTTTTTTATGGCCTTTGTTTTGAAACCTATTTTAGGGTGGGACTTCTGATCAGGGTGTTTCAAAGGCTGTTCAACTACCTTGGATGTATATTTCTAATCATAACCAAGCACCCCTAGGGTGTGGATTATCATGAACCAGACCATGTACCCACTCACTCTGTTTTAAAGTCAGTGACAAGGTCTCCCAGTGTGTGCACAGAGCAGAGAGCGTGGCAGCACTCATCCTTGTGGACCATACATGATGTGTGCTTGCACCTGACATCTGTGCCATGCACATGTGTAATCAGCATCACTCGACCCAAACATAGTTCATTGTCAACATGCTTTTCTCCTTCATGGAAGCCCTTTTCAGTTGAGAAAGAGCTCTTTCAGACAAAATCAGTCCGCTCTTGCCCACCACCTACGGGAGGGAGGCACAGATAGGGAGGTGGATCACTGAGCTGCTGTCATTGGCTTATCCCCTTCTGGTGACCTGAGAAACAAACCAGGACAGGGACAGGGTGGCATACCCATGCAAGGGGATATTGCAAGGTTACTGTGCAGCCTCAGGCCCCTGACAGGAAACCCATATTATCTCTGCTACTGTCCATCTAGTACAGCCTCCAACCTGGTGCCTCCCATGTCTCATCTCAGCTCCCAGACGTGCACAGGTCCCAAGCCCTGACTGGTAGAGAAGTCACGAAGGATCTTCTGAAAAGTGTGCATCCTGGGCTGCTGCCCCAGGGGCTCTGACCCACCCAGGGTGAGCCGGAAGGGTGCCTGGTGAACAAATGCCCAATATTATTGATGCTTGTAGTCCCTGGGCTCCTCACAGGAGCCCTGCTCTTGTGGCAGGGCCATGGAGCTGGAGGTCAGAAAGCTCAAATTTGCCTTCACAGCTCTTTGTGCACCAGGTGGCCTTGGGCTGCCCCTCGGTGTTCATAGCAGTAGAAGGGAAGACCCTTCACAAACTGTGAGGCTCCTTTAATGCAAGAGGGTCTTGTCCCTATTATGACGTTAGAACCGATGCCCTTCCTGTGGGTGTTCAAGCCTTTTGGTGCCTCCTGCCTAGTTTTTACAAAGATGCTGTTCTATCCCCAGCCTTCAACACAGCCAGGTGTGAGAAACTACAGAAGGAGAAGGAGGATCTGGAGAGGAGGTTTGAAGACGAGGTGAGGAAGTTGGGCTGGCAGCAGCAGGCCGAGCTCCAGGACCTGCAGGGCCGGCTGCAGCTGCAGTTCCAGGTGGAGGTGACTCGGCTTCAGGAGGAGCACAGCACCCAGCTGCTGCGGATCCAGCGTCAGCATCAGGAGCAGGTCAGTGTGGGCTCTGCGCTGTGCCTCTGCTGTTAGGGTGTGTGGGGGAAGGTGACGGGGAGCAGCGCTACTTGAGCCAGAAGACCTGTTTCTAGGTGAACTTCTTGTAAAGTCCCTCTCAGACCTCATTTCTTTCTTCTGTTGCCTCCTTTCCTCCCCTCCAGCCCCTCTGACTTCCCTCTCCTTGTCCTCCAGGCATGCTCCCACCCCCTGCCTGGAATGCTTTCCCTCTAGACACTTCATGGCTCCCTCTCTCCCTCCCTTCCAGACTTTTCTCAAAAGTCTCTTTCTCAGTGAGACTTTTCCTCATCTCAAATTACAGCTCCTCTCCCTACTACATACACACTTTCATGTACCCCTTCCTACAATGGTTTTTCCTCAACATTTACCACTATCCAACGTATTAAAATTTTTATTTTTGTATCCTATTTATCACTGCATATTTCATGAGGGGGTGATGATAAGGCAAACATATGTTTAGTACTTGAGCGCCAGGCACTGCTATTAACCCTGTACATGTACTAACTCATTTAATCCTCACAATCACCCTGCAAGGTGTGTATCGTTATTATCCCCAATTACATGAGACAAGACTGAAACTGGAAGGTTAAGTAACTTGTGAGAATCCCCAGAGCTGCTCATGGGAAAGCCAGGGTTGGACACAATCTGCTGCAGAGCCGTGCTCTCAAGCATGGAGTTGGAGTTGTCTCCAGGCTTACAGCTAGAATTTTGGTACCTGAGTGTGGCTGCCGAGAGTAGTCCCTCAGTCTGTACTTGCTGAATGAAAGCATAAATGGCACTAGCCCAGTAGTCTTACTAGAGAGAGCATTCACCTGGAAGAAGTTGAGAATAATCACCAGGGAGACTGTCAGGTGACAACAGGTAAGAGCCAGAGGTGACTGCTTTCATGAAAACTAGTTCTTTTCTTTTCTCCTTTTTCCAAGTCCCCAAGGTCTGTTGTTCTAGTACACAACTTCTAAGCACTGTATTGTTTCTCGTGGTCTGCTTATGATATTCCTAAGGGAAGCTGGCCTTTGCAAAGAGCCCTCTAAATCTCCCACTAGTGCTGGGTGGCCCTTCACAATCATGAACATTTGGGCTGCCCTCCGTGGAATGCTTCCAAATAGATGCCCTGGATGGTGATGGTCCCCAGAGTCTTGTGAATCTGAGGGGGACACAAGGAGAATTTCAGAGTGATAATAAGAACTGTTATAGTAATGAAAAATCTCTTACCTGATTCATTTTATTTTATTCAGCATCTTCTTTTCTAGAAGCCTGTGGAAACCAGATATACTTGCCTGCTTGAGGTTGTTTATACTTAGAGACCAGGAAACAGATGAAGTTACAGCTAAAGTTACCACTGGTGCTAATGTCAGAAACTGAACCTGCAGCATCTTGCCTCCTCAGCTCAAGGAGGAGCAGGAGAACGAACTTTGAGTGAAGGCTCCCATGCGGGTACCATGTATGGAAACCATGGAGCTGAGGCCACTGCTGGGCAGAGCCTTCCGCCAGTGGGGTGCAGCTGGGACAGGATGCCCCCTCAGCATTGTCAGTACAGAAGAAGCACGGCTGGGAGATGAGCTCTCACCCGCCTTTAGGCTGGGACACAGCAGCACTGAAGGAAAGAAAGCCGTGATGTTGAGAATGAGTTACAGAAGCTACTTCTGCATACTTAAAAAAGGGTTGTGTCTTATGAGGGTTCTGAGTTCTGTTCTTCTTGGTCCTTTGTAACGTCTAAAGTGATTCATCTATTTATCCATTCACCTATGCCAAGAACATTTCGGGAAGGTTCACTGTACAGAAGGTACCGTGTCAGGTCCCTGTGAGACGTACCAAGATTTATAAACCTTGGGCTTGCTTGGTCCATGCCTCAGGTGACAGCCAGGGGAGGTTCTGAGAAAGTGCTCAAGAAACTATGATACTGGGTGAGATGCACAGATACGTGTCTAGGGATTGAGAGTTTACATCTAGCTGTGAGAGTAGGGGACACTTTGTGTTAGAAATAACATCTGAGTGTTTTGGGTCTGAGTAAACCTTGCTGATAGATAGATACCCACTGGTCTGGTGGGGGGTGATTTAAGTCTGTGGATTATTCAGGCCCCTGATTTTGCTCCTGCTGCTGAATATTGACTGATGGCTTGAGGCAGAGGGCATATGGCGATGAGGGAGAAAAGGCAGGTATAGCAGCTGCAGTTTAATTTCCAGTAGAATCAGTGCTCATATGCTTCGTGCAGGAGGAGGCTCAAGTGCAGGGCTGTGACGGAGACTGGTAAGGCCTGCGGACTCTCCACACTTGAGTTGCCCTAATAGGGACAATTGCACATGGCAATGCTGACTTTATGGATAGTGACATCTCTGTCAGAAGTTATGCTCTGTGAGCTTAAAAGTCAACCTAACCAGCTGGCCTAACCAGAAAGCCTCCCCTCACCTCACACCGGCCCCACACTCACCGGCAGTGCAGGCTTTCCTCAGGTTGGAAGCTCCTGCACTGCGGGCGGCCTGACTGTGGTACAGGGTCTCCCACGTGACAAATCCAGCCATTTGTTCACCTAGGGGGGCAAAGACTGTCTCCCTCTGCCCACACATGGAAATCACTTGGGGAACTTGTGGCAAAACATCCCTCCTCATTCTCACCCCACACTGATTGGATCGGAATCGCTAGCAGGGCCAAGCATGGGGCCTGGAACTGCAGTGTCCCAACTTGCAGAGCCTTGCTCTTCAGTCCTGGGGGATGAGCAGGAGGCGTGGCCTGGCCCTCTGGCCTTTTTAAGTGCCTTTAAAGATAGGGTCTGACTTTTATTTCAAGAGTATAACTATAAAATGTTTAATCGGAATCGGCACTCACGCCATAGCTAACTGCATTCATAGAAGCCAAACTGCCAGAGCTTCCCTATTTCAAGGCACATGAAACAGATTCTCACCAGCAACGCACAGGCTTTCCCCTTTTTGCCCAAACACAGTGCCTTCCAGTTCTCCCCTCTGGGCTGCCTTTGGCTGTTCCCCGAAGATATTCAGCCACAGAGCCTGACATTCAGTGATCAGACTTGTGACCTTAGACACCATTCCTCCAAGACCCTTTGGCCTTGTCTTCGTAGCCCTGAAGTCACTGTGGACCCGGCTCAGTAAAGTCTGAGCAGAGGTGCCTTCCCCTACAGGGGCAGCACTGCTTCTCCTTGGGCACTTGCATTTGCTTTGTCTCATATTCAGAGCATCTTTCTCCCCTTCCTGAAGGAAATCACCCTTTCAGACTAAGAGGCAGGCTCCGCATCCCCCCCTTCATCAGAAAGTACAGAGGTCACTGTTCATCACCTCACATTACAGCTCCTCAGTCCTCGTGCGCGACTGGCATGCAGCCACTGCTACAGAAATTACACTCTCTAATCAAACAGAACAAGTCCTGGGCACCCTCAGTCTCCCAGCACTGGAGCCCCACCCAGCACAGCCCACAGTCTCATTGCCCCGGGAGGAGGCACTGTGGGAAGGTGGGGGCCCAGGTGAACACCTGCCCGCTCTGTGTGGCAGGCTGTGGAGGGGGCAGAAGGTACAGACTGGAAAGTGACGGAGTGGGGTTGAGTACTCTGGGACACCTGGCTGCCCACTCTGGGCACACAGATACCCCAGCCATTCGTTGTGAGCAAGCATGGAGGGGAGGGAAAGGGCAGTCAGTGAGAGAGCCCTGCAGAGAGTAAACACGGGCAGCTCCATCTATCCCACCAGACAGGATATGTGTCTGGGAGGGGGGTAAGTGGGCATTTAAGCTGCTTTGGGTTGAATGAGTAAAGCTGAGAGGATATAAAGCACATGCATCTTCATTCTAAATGTAAGTCATCTCTCAGTGAATTGGCAAAGCCTCAGATAATTGCATTTTGCAGATGGCCAAGTGAAGGAAACCCACAGCTGTATCTGACCCATCTGAGAGGGTGGCTTTCCGACCTTTTGCTCTGCTGTTGCTGAGGCCAACTGAACCAAAAGGCCCTGTGGGAATGGAGCCTGCTGCGAGAACAGCTGCTTCTCCTCAGATGGGGGCTGTTGGGCTCCTCCATGGCATGGCCCACACCTCTGTCTTCCTGAGGGAGGAGGAGGGAGGCTGGTCCAGAGTGGTGGAAAGGGCCCCAAGAGAAGGATGCTTCACCCAGCCTAAGTTTGCCCTGGCCTGACAATGAATCAAATGATCTGGTTGGTGTTTCCCTTCAGTCAGCTTGTTTGAATCCCCTCAGATGCCTGCAGAAGTTCAGGGTCTTCTGGGGCTGAGAGTGCTCCCTGGCTGCTTCAGAGTGTGAGGCTGTGCTCTGGAAAGGAGCCAAGGGAGGGGTAGTCCTGGAGATCGATACTATGTGTGACAAGAACGAGGATGGCCAATAGTAGACAGCCACTTTCCAATAGCAGGAACAGTCTTTAAAAACCACAAAGCTGTATGGAAACTCTACTAACTGAAGAGTAAGGATTCTTGGACCCAAATCATGGCTCTTCGGCTGACATTGGTTTCCTCTTATTGCATATGGCCTTTCAGAGTTAGGTGATCAGTGTGTCACTCATAAGAGCACCTCTGAGGGGCTGTCACAGATAATAATATCCTTCCATCATGCTTAATACATTGGGCATGATATTGTGTCACCACTAAATCAAAGACCTGCCTCCCGACAAACCAGAAAGCTGCATGTTCAAGCTTCAGACGTGATGTAGTGCTGCCAGCCAGGGCGTCTTCACCACCAGAGACACGTGAGACTCTCCTGGAACATGGCAATTTGTGTGAGAGCCTAATACATGAGAATCGCACCAAGGATCGATCAAAGACTTTTCTTTAGACGGGACTGGGTAACCAGCATCCACGTACCATGTGGACACCCGCATCTACCACTGACATCAGTAATGAAGCAGAAAGAAAACACGGTTTCATTTTTTTAAAACCAGTGATTTATTTTTTAAGAGGCTGAAATGCTTCAGACAAAGATTCTACAAAAACCTCATATAAACAGGAATTGGACAGTTACATACTGTGGTAATCACCCTTCTGCTGAATGGAGGCACAGTTCGGAGCCTTAAGTAAAACATTGTGTAATCCAGAATGGCCAGTAAATAAAAGTGAATCACTGCATTTTAAATTTGTGATGCCGCTTTCCTAACACTGTGGAGTTCATTGTTGGTGTCGCCAGTGATATTTCTGTCTTCATGCATGAAGTTCTCATTTATCTTAGAAGAGAAAAGCTAGGCAAAATTTTTGTGCAATTATAGTATCCAGAATGAAAATCTACCCCATTTTAAAATAAAAATACTCCATGCACCCACTCCACAAGTGGGCTTCCTTTCCTTCAGAGAGCCCTTCCTCTTCAGATGAAAGGTCAGCCTGTGAATTATCCCCCGAGAAACAAAAGACCCCTAAGCAGCAGCTGAATATTACCACCTGGAAGCAATGTGTTTTAACCGGCACACCAAGCAGCTTAGTGACCTGGGCACATTTCCTGCTACTGTGCAAATGCCAGGTTTTGAAACATGAGTAAGCCTACCTGCATTTTGAAATAAACACAATAAAAATTAACCAGAATATTGCAAGTAGGAGGGAAAAGTATTGTTTTGCAACACTTTGGTTTTGTGTGAGTGCTGCATTACAATGTACAAGAGCAGTTTCTGCAATGGTCACTGACAAAGAATTTGGAAAACACTGTTCTGGTTTGCTAGTGCAGGCAGAGGTCTTTGTATGCAATTATTCCTTTAAGTCATACATTTGAAGTTAAAGCAATAGCCACAACAATGAAATAGCAAAAAGAGTACACCTCAGGGGCCTGGGGCGGAGACCAGGAAGGATGAAAATAAAAAATCCTGGGCTGGCTGTGCTACTTGTAATTAAACTACTAGAAATGACCTACAGCTGGACACACAGAAGCCCCAGCTGGGACCAGGTCCACATTGCTGGGCGGGAAGCCCACGTTGCAAGCAGATGGCTAGGAAGCAGGTGGAGTGAGCACACAGGTCTGCTGCTGCCTTGACTTTGGTGAGAGGCTCCTAAGGCACCAGGTGTGGCCTTGCTGGGAAGACAGGACGGGTGTGTTTGAGGGGGCTTTGACATTGGAGTCAGACAGACCTGGCCAACTGCTGGCTCTGCCCCTTACTAGGCCTTGGGCGGAATGTCTCAAACCTCTCTAAGCCTCAGTTTCCTGTAAGATGGGCATAAATATTTATTTTAGAGTGTCACTGTGAGGGTTAAATGGAGTAGCTGACAGCAGGCAGCTTAACTGCTCCTTCCCATTTATCTTGTGCACTGTGCTTCCACCTGCCATGGGGAAACAGACAGACCATCTAGAAGGGAGGTCCTTCTTCTTTTCCTCATCACCCCACAGAGTGATTGGTATGAGGGGAAGGAATGGGAGTGGGGAGCGGATGGTCCCAAGTCAGGCCCAGGATGGCAAAGAGGGGGCTCAGGTGACCACCCCACATTGTGATAATCTGACGCCAGGGGCTGCCACATCACCACTGACTCCTGGCCCCCTTGGCTTGGCACACGGATGAGGGCAGCTATCATCTCTAGAATGACTTGTCCTTGACATTTTGGACCACTGACCTTTCTACTGGTTGAATTCCATCTCAGTTCTCCAAGCAGTGAGGATACCGCTGCCACTCATCCCAGCTCTGCATAGCAGTAACTGTGGCTCTTCCGCAGGTAGAAGATATCACCGCCAGCCATGAGGCTGCCCTCCTGGAGATGGAAAATAACCACACAGTGGCCATCGCAATCCTGCAGGATGACCACGACCACAAAGTCCAAGGTAGCTACCATCCTAGATGTGTGCAGCCAGCAGGGGTGGGCCGCACGAACCCAACGTTCCCGCTGCAGACGCTAGGAGCCCTTCCTGCTCTCTGTTCCACTTTCCTTTCTTCCTTCCTGTCCTTCCTGGAGTGTCCTCTGCGTTGCTTGCTGTGGATGGGAAGGATGGAAAGCCAGGATCCCGGTGGCACTTCTTTCCTCTGAGGCAGTTACTCTTAGCCTCGCCTGGATGTCAGAACCCGTGGCGCTGTAACAGGAGGCTGCGCCGGCCTCGGGCCCACTCCAGGGCTCCCATGCAACTTCGCGTCAAGATTTTATAAAGCTCCGGAGGGGAGTCTGATGGGTAGCCATGCTTGAGAACCGCTATTCTAAAGTGGGCATGGAAGCTGGGCTTTGTCTCGGCCTTATGAAATTAAATGTCAGTGCTCGGCGGGTACAGCCTTTCCCCTTCCCACACTCGGGGTGCTGCCCAGACCGCAGCAGCACCGCACTGGATCCAGGTGCACACCTTGAGCTCACAGGCCACATTCACCAAGGGCTGAAGTGGTCTCTGGATCTTTCTTTTTATATTTTTGGCGACTTTAAATTATCCTTGGGTACTTAGGGTTCTATGCTAGTTACAGCAACAAGAGCAACATTTACTAAATACTACTAAGATTTTGGTTTTGTGAAGGAAGTTTTTACAGTTTTAACATGCATTTATACTACATACACAACTTATTTTTCAGTTTTTTCTCTCCTCACTTTTCCCCCAGCCAGAAATTTAACAATGGGTTAATAAAGTTAAAATTAATAAATTTAAAGATTTTAAGAATTAACATCAGTGTTTTATTATTTTTAAATGGTCTCTGTGGACACGGAGCGCACTGTGCAGTAGTCAGTCCTCTGACGGAGCCTCCCTGAAGCCTCAGCCCCGCTCCCTGGGAGCATTAGCGCGGGAAAACGTCCCGCTGGCACATCTCCCACGAGGGTTCGAGTTCCCTGGTGCAGGTGTTTTCACATCTTTGCTGCGAGCATTCTTGACATACACATTTTCACACATAATTAATTGGCTGTAAGGTAATTTTGCTGTAAAAAAAGATAAAATCACAACAAATAGAGGGACAATAAAAAAGACAATGAAACATGAAGAAAATGAATAACAAAATTAAGACTTTATTTAAAATATGTATAGATTCATGGTTATATATGTGTGTATATATATATATATATATATTAGCAAAATATGGTCAGCACATTATTATCCTCAATGGCTATTACAACTAATCGCTTAGAGGCAGGTAGACAGAAGACAACATGGTTTTATGCTAACAAAATCAGCATACACTTTTTTTTCAAATGTAAATTTCAGCTAAAATAACTGGATTTCTTAGAGACCTTCACCATCATTAGTTCAAAGGTTTGGATCAATGGAAACCACAAAGATTTTCTGAATTGTGGCCTGGCCTGCCAGAACGGTGATTGTTGGTCTCTAGTGCTCTCCTGTGCAAAGCACGTGTGGTCCAGGCTGATTAATGAGACCTTCCCTCCCTCTGTTTATAAGATGCAAACGAAGTGCTTGTGTAGCCAAGATGAGATGGACTTTACCCAGCTAATAAGACTGTTCCCATCTGGAGGAAAATTGAATCCATTTGCTTAATAAGTCTTACGTGGCCTCGCTTTCTGCCTGACTTGCAAACATCACTGGAATGCCACTTTGCAAATAGTGCAATGGCTCCACACTCCCCGAGAGGAATCAGCTCAATCAGTCTTCCCTTCTGCCTGGCTGTCTCCACATCAAGTCTTCACTCAAGCACATCCTGGAGATCTGTGGCTTTCAGAGCGTGGCTCAGAGGCCCGGCACACACAGCATTGGCTCCATTCGCCTGTCATCCTCCAGCAGGCCGGGCTGCAGGGGGGGCTGCCCAGGGCTCCCTCTCCCTGAGAGCTCCCTCCTTCAGCCCCGACAGCTGCTTTGTAGTGGAAAGAAAGAGTGATCCTGGGAGGGGAAGAAAAAGAGACTTCACATGGATCACGCAGTTGTTTTACCACAAGGAAAACTTGGATATTTGATGAGGACTGTGGATGGAGACTCTAACTTGGCCAGGATGGTGGGAAAGCAGGGTGTAGAAATGAGTGTGTGTGTGTGTTTGTATGCACTCAACTTGCTTCTCCCTTGTTTTTTCCCTCTTTCCCCCTTTTTCTCTCCCTTTCTCCTTATGGCCTTCCTCTTTCTTTCTCCTCTAAATAACACCACATGCAATTCCAAAGTACTGGGGCGGTCCCTGTAGCCTCTAGCCTGCAGCACACCCGTGTCCCTTACTCACCCAAGTCTCTCATTTAGTCTGCCAAAACAGTCTTGTTTGATCCCTTTTAGAATACCAATTTACCAATCTGCTGTCTTCTCTCCAGAACTGATGTCTACCCATGAGCTTGAAAAGAAAGAATTGGAAGAAAATTTTGAAAAGCTGCGGCTGTCCTTACAGGTTAGTATCTCCTTCACTCTGATGCCAAGCTAATGGCAGCACCGTTAGTCCTGTCCACCAACATTTATCTAGTACCTGCTATGTGCTAGACCCCATGTAGAGCACTGGAGTATGGGAGGGAGATGGGACATTCTCCTTGTCCTAAGGCATTTGCTGTCTACTCAGAAAGTTGTGACACAAAGAGTGACAGACACCCACAAAAGGTAATGCATGCTTGCACCAAATGAATAATCCCATCAGTGAGTGCCACAGGAGCTCGGAGAGGTGGCTCCACCCTTGCAGTGGCCAGAGGAGTCACTGAGCTGTGTGTGAGGAAGGGGGAGGACATGGAAGAAGAGCATTCTAGGCTGCGGAGTGGTGTAAGGAGGGTTGTGAAGGGCAGAAGCCATAGGGCGTGCCTGGAAATTATAAAAAGGACTGTAATCACCTGGAGGTGGGGGGATGGAAAGAACCTTCTCTACCTCCCACTGCCAGTCCAGGGAAAACGTGTGTCTCAGATGCCAGGGAGTAGACTGGCTTCCTTCTGACCTCTAATGAGAGAGTGAAGGGTCCCCCAGATCACCAGCACCTCCCTTTTGCCTGGGAAGCTAGGGTGGGGTTGGAGGCCCTGCTCCCATTCCCAGCTATGAACATCCTGATCAAACCAAAGTTATTTTTTAAATATTTGGGACACTCACATCTGGACATTTTGATGGCAATAACAATGAATGCCTACTGATTACCACAACTAATACGAAGCCAGGAATTTTGCTTCTCCAATGGCTCATTTTCCCCGGCAACGTCCATCGCATAGAGGTGGCCCTGCTGAGAACAGAGCCCAGGATTGTGCCGACACCACTGTCACAGCCCCGAGAGCACTATCCAAAGTTTTTCAGTGGGAAATAGCCTGCAGTGAGCCCAC